AGTGTGGGGCTTGAACTCATGACCCCAAGATCAAGAGTCACATGCTCTAGCAACTGAGCCAGCCAGGCGCCCCAGATAGTTTATTTTAAATATAGATAAGTTTTAGGACGCCTGGGTGGCTCAGTTGTTAAGCATCTTAACAACTGCCTTCAGCTCAGGTCATGATCCCAGGGTCCTGGGATCGAGCCCCGCATCGGGCTCCCTGCTAAGCAGGAAGCCTGCTTCTCCCTCTGCCTGCCACTCCCTCTGCTTGTGCTCTCTCTCTCTGACAAGTAAAATCTTTTAAAAATATATATAAATTGGGGTGCCTGGGTGGCTCAGTCGTTAAGCATCTGCCTTTGGCTCAGGTCATGATCCCAGGGGCCTGTGTTTGGGCCCCACATCGGGCTCTCTGCTCAGTGGGAAGCCTGCTTCTCCTTCTCCCACTTGCCCTGCTTGTGTTCCCTCTCTCGCTGTGTCTCTCTGTCAAATAAATCTTTAAATAAATAAATAAATATATATATATATAAATAAGTTTGTCGTTGATAGCTACAGAAAAGTACACAAATATTGAGGATATAGTTTGATGAATTAGCATCATATTTTGATATTAACATGGCCTAGGCTATGCTGACAAAAGAGCAGTGACATGGAAAAATAAGTTTATTTCTTACTCATGCTACATCCTGTCTTGGGATGCCTGTGGCTCTGCTTAACATTCTGTTTACACTTTGATCAAAACCCCATGTGATGGAGCATCCTCTGTCTAAAACATTACCAGCCTTAGAGTAGAGGCAAAAACATCATGAGAAGTACTGCTTGCTCTTAGAGCTTTTTCCCAGAAATTGCTCATTTCACTTTCATATTTCAATTAATTTTTTAATTGACCAAAGGAAATCACTTGACCACTGTCATCTTTGATGTGGAAGGGAAGTATATCCTTCCCCAAGGAAGTAAATATTTTAAAGAAGTATTACAGTCTACTACAGTTCTAAAGATTTTAACTTACTACTCTGGAACAAAATCTGCTTATTTAACATCTTAAAAACAAACCAGGTTTTTTGGCCTAAATCACATACATTTCATTTTTACATCAAAATTTCTTCTGAATATTTTAGGTGGAATGGAAGAGAAGGAAGCTTACAGAGGAAAACAAATGTTTGTTTTTTAATATTTTCTAATTTTTCCTTTCCCCTCCCCCATTCTTTATGATTCTTTTATGGTATTTTTTTTTAAGATTTATTTATTTATTTATTTGACAGAGAGAGAGAGAGAGAGAGCAGTGGGAGAGGGAGAAGCAGGCTCCCCACTGAGCAGGGAGCCCAATGCGGGGCTTGATCCCAGGACCTTGGGATCATGACCTAAACCCAAGGCAGATGCTTAACCGACTGAGCCACCCAGGCGCCCCTATGTTTTATTTCTTTGAAGTAGTTCTTACTGTCCAAAGTAATTTGTTTTCCTTTTTTTTTTTCTTCTTCCACTAAGCACTAGGAGAGGAAGGACATACTATGTTTTATTTCCCAGTAGATACCTAGGTGTTAGCACATTACCTGGTACTTAACCTCTCTGCACCTCAGTTTTCCATAATAGTATGCATCTCATAGGACTGGTGTGTCAATTAAAAGTGTTAATGCACATAAAGTGCTTAGAACAATAACTCTCACAAAGTAAGCACTCAAACAGGCAATTAAGATACAAAATAATAAGCATTACAGTAGGGGAAGAAAGTACAGGAAGCCTAATCTAGGGCTGAAACCTGGAAAATAAGTTATATGGATTTAGTTCAGGAAAGAGAAATGTATATATAAGGCAGAGGGAACAGTATATGCAAAGGCTTGTGGGCAAGAGAGAACATGCCCCTGATTTCCTGTGTGTCAGTTATTCAAAGAAAGTATAGCAAACTTACACTTTCAAGAAAACTTAGTCTCAGAAAATTGTAAGTGTAAATACTTTGTGTGTATTCTTATTCAGGTACTTGAAAGTTTGGGAGAAAGATACACAGTCATTTCATTAAATACTGTCAATTTGATTTATCAGTTTTTGCTCTTTAAATATGTTTTTAGGCTTACAAATGGTGCATCGAGGCAATGAAAGAAATCACAGTGGGCTTACCAGTCAAAGTTGTGGTGGATGTTTTAAGACAAGCTTCTAAGGTGAATATAATGTTAAAATTATTAATGTATTACAGGATTTAGCAAGCTTTAAATTTGTCTTAATTAACCTGTTATTTAACAAGTTAGATATTGCGTACTCCATGGACTAACAAGGTCTATTTTCTGAGTTTCTCTGCTCAGTTGTAGAAATCAGATTTAGAAATCTACATATAGAATTGAGCTAATTTTTCTACACCCAGAAAACCCGTGAAAAATATCATTTTGATAACTCAGCTTACTGAACTACAGATTGAGGCAGTATTTTGGTGCTATTCTAGCTTGAGTTTGCTTTTGTTTTTCTTAACCTTTCCAGCAACCTGAATTCCTCATGCCACAATTGTGTGGATTTTGGTCATTTTTCTCCTAAAAGCTAGCCTAGTATTAAATCTTTGAGTGATAGTATTGCAGCCTCACAGTGTCACAGATTCCTATTCTTGAGCTGCTTGATTTTCCCTTTAGTTTCTTCTTATTCTATAGATAAATGCATTCACTCTCTGAAGCCATTTATTTTTAAATTGCTGGTTTGGTGTACTGAGGCTTTAAAACATTGATGTGCTTTTCAAATATATTCTTTCTACCCAGAGTTTTTTTGATTTTGAATATTTCATTTTGGTTGGTTTTAATTACGGAAATTTTAATTAGAAGAAAGATTCTAAAATTATAGATTTATAAGAGTCTAAGATTTCTGTGAAACTTACTAGATAAGTTATTTTAGACAAGTACGTAGCATAACTGTTCAGATTATTATCAGAGCTATAAGAGAGATATTAATATGTTTTTAATTAATTTAAAACATTGGATATACCATTAATATAAAGACAGTTTAATTATGTGCAAGATTTGTATATTTATATGCAGGTAATATTTAAGAGTTTGAAAACGACTGGCTGTTTTCATGAATCAAAATATTTTAAGAATAGGAAAACTTGAAATTCTGTGCATTTTAGAACTAACAGATGAAGACTACAAGATACTTAAGCCACTCTAGAACTAGGATATAAATAAGTAGCTTAGAAAATACTATGTTGAACCCTCCCCCCATTTACTTATGATATAATCTGGAATGATGGGAGTATACCAGCTTTGTAGGGTAACTCTGTTATAACAGGTTTGTATTGGGCAAGAATGTCAAAATTTTAAACTTTTTAATTTCCCAGGATATGTACAGATCTGTTTATAATAGAATTTTCGAATACTTGGAAGGGAAGAAATTACAAATAGAACCCTTATATTTATGTTTGAGGATTTTTTTTTTTTTTGGACCATCATAGTCTGATTATATAATCTGTACTTAGTTTAGCACACTAATTAACTATTTGAGAGTTATTTAATAATTTTTCACTTTATCCTTAGGCTTGTGTTGTAAAACGTGAATTTAAGAAAGCAGAACAGTTAATTAAACATGCAGTGTATTTGGCACGGTAGGTGATTGTTACAAAAAATACTATTTCCAATTGTCTCTCTCTACTTTATATCCTAATAGTTTTATATCTTTTTATAGGGATCATTTTGGATCCAAACACCCAAAATATTCTGATACACTGCTAGATTATGGGTTCTACTTACTCAATGTAGATAATATCTGTCAGTCTGTTGCAATTTATCAGGTATGTTAACAGTTAACGCTTTTTTTCTTTCAACCTGAATTGACTTGCTGATCTGTATTTGTTTGCGGTGTATAACCCACTCTCTAAGAACAACTCTTTCTGAGCCCCTCCTCGTATATGGGACAACATTCTTTTACTAAATAATATGTAGTAGGGTTAGAAGTAAATGTTTTAGGAATTACAGAAAACCATTGAGGAAAAGAATTTTTGGCTTGTGGGCTCATATATAAGAGTAATTTTCCATTTTTCATTTGCCCAGGGGATGACTTATCTTCATTGTTGATTTAGCATGAGTCATTATAGCTGTCTTTGTAATAGCAAGGAGGGTTGATAACAATTATTTTAGGCCATGTATTAGTCATTCTTAGGTAAATGTGTTACATCATCACTCTGGACAAGGTATCCTTGATTTTATGGTTCACTTATAAAGAAGGACATAGAAAAACACTGCTGTGATTCTCAGACATACGAATAATTTTTATTATGAAACCATTGTCTTGTAAGTTAGATTCAGTCTTCAGAAAACCAGGCCTTTTGGTGACTTTTATGTTCTTGTGTGATTTAAATACAGCAGGACTTTTGCTTCAAAACTGATGGTATTGATACGTAGAACATATATTTAAATTAGTAGGATGCTTAGTATTACTGGGTAGTGTTTTCTAAGGATTTATATTAATAATAATTTTCATGACTCTTTCAGGCAGCCCTTGACATTCGGCAGTCAGTGTTTGGTGGCAAAAATATTCATGTAGCAACAGCTCATGAAGACTTGGCTTATTCTTCTTATGTTCACCAGTATAGCTCTGGGAAATTTGACAATGCACTGTAAGTTCCATGTTCCTTTTCAGTGAGTGATTAAATGCTGTTGCTATTGTTTTGTTTTTCCTAATGCAATAGTATTTAATGTATTTATAGATTAAATTTGTCTTCTGGAGCTTTAACAAGATGCCTAAACTGTTCTTGAAGTCATTTAAAATAATACCAATTTATAAGTCATTTAATTAGATGTTATGTGGTTTAATATTGAGAGTTCTATATCTTCGTAAGGAATATGGCTTATCTTCTGAATACTTCAGTAATTTTTCTTTGAGTAGTATAGTAGCCTCTGGCTAAATGACAGACTTAACCTAAAAACATTTTGCTCAAAATATGCAGAAATACTGAGTAAAATATAACAGTTGTCTTTGTCTTTGTAAATGCATAAATGAGCTTGCAGGAGAGAAAGAAAGTCCCCAAGGGCCACTCATGGACTAAAATCCAATAGGGTAGGCATGAACTATGGTATAACTAGTTGCCCTAGGGTGATTGGAAAGCTTAGTAGTTTGTGTAAACCTTGGTTGGACAATAATCCTGGGTTTATGAGATAAGGCATTTAGTCCACAGGAAACTATGAGTTAGAACTGAAACCCTCACCTGAAGTCAAGATCAAGCCTGCACCATCAGGGAAAGGGAAGACTAGGAGGAAAACAAAAAATTTCCCACTGGCAAGAAAGAGGACAAGGAAACTCATTCATCTCAGGTTGGGCTCTCAGTTAACCAAAAACAGCCTCACAGTGGAATTTATAACTGCATCATGTATTCAGGAATCCCCAAACTGAGGAAAACATTAAAAAGCTCTTTGGGACTGCTGTTTCTCCTGAGATGCCTTGTGGGAGAAAATGCAAAACCCTTGGAAATTCTCAACCCAAACCAAACAGACTTCCCATAGATCTAGCTCTACCTAAGATGAACTCACCATTAAAAAATTTTGAAATAGGGCGCCTGGGTGGCTCAGTCGTTAGGCATCTGCCTTCGGCTTGGGTCATGATCCCGGGGTCC